TATATATATATATATATATATATATATATATATATCATGGATCACTTTTAATTTTATATGAATAGAATAGCTAATTAATTAATATCGGTATATTGTGTTTGTTGAATAATAGAGTGCCATGCGTAAGGAGAGGAGGGCTACGATTCAGTTTTCAAGGAAATGGGTACTGGCTATTGGTATACGTGATGAACGTGGGAGGTGGAGGAGATATTTCAAGCATGTCGGTGAAAGGAAGCAGAAGCAGATGGATAAGCATGAGCCATAACTGGGGAGCGTCTTATCAAGCATTTGCAACTCTGGCTGGCCAAGCTCTTTCTTTCAGAATCACTTCATACAACACTAGAGAGACTATCATTGCATGGAACGTTGCTCCTTCCAATTGGAACGTGGGACTAACTTATTCCACCACCGTTAACTTCCGTTAAAGATATATATATATATATATCCCAATTCCTAGCTTTTCCTTGTCTTTTAAAAACTGCTATAACTTTTCTTATATGAAACTATGTGATTGTGTCAGCTGCAGCAGGTGCACTGCACATATTGCTAAGTGTAAAGAATCTGTCACTTTTTGTTAGTTTGACAAGCTTTTAAACCTATATATCCAGTGAAGTTCTTCTTTTCACAGCTGCAACTTTGCAATAAAAACTACAGTTAAAATAATGGCGTTATCGATCTGTAAGTGAAATGTAGACGCTTAATATGAGCACTTGTTATATTTTATGGTGCATATCATTAGACAGTTCCAAATTGTAATTTGCAGAACTTTTGTGATTATTTGACCCCAAAAGTAGAGTAGAAGGTAATTAATTAATCAGCGTTATATGGTAGCTATAGTAGCAAAGGAAAATACTATGGATCAGAAAAAAATACTAGCAAGAAAAATGTGTTTTTATATGCAGGTTTGTCTGGTGTTTTTATATGGCGTTGGACAAAGTTATTTTCTGTACATAGTAGCGCCATTTAATGTTTATGGGGAAAACTATTTTTTATGCTTTTTTTAAGTAATAGTAATTAATTCAATTACGTATACCCCCCTCAATGCTAGTAGGGCAAAGGTGATGGAGCAGGCCCTCGCATCGGAGATCCTTACAATGCCGAAAAGGGCGAACACACCCCCTAGAGCCGACAAAGCCAAGACATGTTGATTCCACCGAAATAGGGGACACTCAACAGAAGAATGCTCAGCGCTAAAAGACAAATTGGAAGACCTCATCAAGCAGGGTCATCTCAGAAGCTTTGTCACCCCTCAAGACTGTCAATCAATCAAGAGAGAGCACCAGCCTCGTGACGCTCGTCAGCCAAGAGACCGACGTCACCGATCCCGATCTGCCGAGAGGCACGATCGGACAAGACATCCCAGAGAGGATAGCGACCGACCATGGAAGGTGATCAACACAATTGCCAGAGGTTTTGCTGGGGGAGAATCCACCTCTTCCGCACGAAAGCGACACCTCTGTGCTGTCCGATCAGCCAATAATGTGAATTAGCCCAGGCTGCCGAGAATGCCACCTATAACCTTCTCTGATCGGGACTTTCGCGGGGTCGATCCTATCCAAGACGACCCCATGGTGATTTCGGTCATGCACAACTGCATTGTAAAGAAAACACTAGTCGATCACGGGAGCTCGGCCGATATCTTATATTGGAACACTTTCGTGCAGTTGGGAATTCTGGAAGAAAGTCTAGAACCGTATCATGAGCCGCTAGTAGGATTTTCCGGCGAAAGAGTGATGACGAGAGGGTGCATCGACTTGTACACTCGCTTCGGTTTCGACCAAAAGTCCTCCCGAGAAATTAAAATCCACTACATCGTGGTACATGCAAGCACATCTTACAATGTCCTACTCGGCCGACCCTCCATCAACGCGCTACAAGCCATCGTGTCGATCCCTCACCTGTGCATGAAATTCCCGTCGAGGGATGGACAAGTAATAACCGTCCATGCTGATCAAAAGACGGCAAGGGAATGTTATCTCTCCAGCTTAAAAGTCCAACCCATCGCCAACCCCTCGCCGACGGCAAAAGGTGTGAATGTGATCGGACAGGAGATGACAGAGGGTCTAGATCTCGATCTGCGCCTAGGTGAGGAAGATCGAATTGAGTCGGCCGAAGACCTCGTCTCTTTTCAACTCGGGCGGACACCCGAGCAGGTCGCACATATGGGATCTCAGCTAAATGAGAACGATTCGAACCAGGTGAAGCGAACGGTTCGAGACAACAGAGACTTGTTTGCATGGAAGTCGTCGGATATGCCGGAGATAGATCCTAGATTCCTGTGTCACCGACTAGCCATATGTCGAGACGCTCGACCAGTTGCACAGAAGAAAAGAAAGATGGGCGACGAGAAAAGGAAAACAGCCGACGCCGAGGTGAAAAAATTGTTGCAAGCCAAATTCATCAGAGAGGTCACTTACACCACCTGGCCAGCCAATGTGGTGTTGGTAAAAAAAGCTAATGAGAAGTGGAGAATGTGTACCGACTATACCGACCTCAACAAGGCCTGCCCCAAGGATGCCTATCCACTCCCTTGTATTGACCGACTAGTCGACGGAGCGTCCAGACATTCAATCTTCAGCTTCTTAGATGCATATTCCGGGTACAATCAAATACGGATGCACCCGGCCGACGAGGATAAGACGGCGTTTATAACCGAGAGCGCCAACTTTTGTTATAAAGTGATGCCGTTTGGACTGAAGAACGCCGGGGCTACCTACCAGAGGTTAATGGACAAGGTGTTTCAGGGTCAGATCGACCGAAACATCGAGATCTATGTGGATGACATGGTGGTCAAGTCCAACTCCCTGGCCGAGCACTTAACAGACCTAGCCGAAATCTTCGATGAACTCCGCAAGCACAACATGAGACTCAACCCCGAGAAATGTACCTTCGGGGTCAAGGGAGGCAAATTTTTAGGTTTCATGCTCTCAGCGAGAGGCATAGAAGCGAACCGAGACAAGTGTCAGGCCGTGTTAGACATGCGAAGCCCGAGCAATCTCAAGGAATTGCAACGCCTTTCAGGAAGATTGGTCGCCTTATCCCGTTTCCTCCCACGGCTAGGCGATAAAATCAGTCCGATGACTAAACTCTTGCGAAAGGCCTCGGCCTTCGCGTGGAACGAACAGTGCGAAATCGCCTTCGCAGCATTGAAAGCAACCTTGGTGACCCCGCCAATCCTAAAGAGGCCTGATGCTTCGAACCCCCTCCGCTGGCCGAACTGCGTAGACAAAATGCCGAGCTCAGGAGTCTGAATCAAACATATGTGTCGTCGACTCCTACTCTCCAAGAGGAGTCGGCATACCATGCCCCAACCGATCACGTGACCCGAACACCAGTCACATCTCTAACGGGTAACAAGGCCGACGCCAGCGTTTATTCCTTAAGACACCCTTTCTCACGAAGGATAATGGAAGCAACCCTACTGGACCATTGGAAGAGTCTTCCAATCGAAAAGTACGACGGATCTACCGACCCGGATGAACACCCGAACGTATTCTTGACACAAGCGACCCTCTCCACTCAAGACGATTCGGCCTTGTGCCGAATATTCCCTACATCGCTAAAAGGAAGAGCCCTGAGCTGGTTCACGAGATTGTCGAGCTCTTCCATCGACTCGTTCAACGAGTTGTAATCCCAATTTACTCTCTAATTCGCGACGAGCAAACCGTATAGGACGACCTCGTTAGCACTAGCGGGGGTTCGTCAAGAAAAGAAAGAAAGCCTGAGGAGCTTCATGGACCGATTTAACAAAATTGCGATGGAGATAGGTGATCTTAATCCCGCCGTGGCATTAGACCGACTGAGCACTGCACTCAGGCCAGGGCCATTCGTGAACAGCCTGTGCAAGAAGCCACCTATTGACATGAACGATCTCCGGCGCCGAGCTGAAAAGTACATGCAAATGGAAGAGCTGGCGAAAACCCGTAACCAAGCCAGGGCCGAGGAAAACTATAGTCGAAAGGAATCCGGCCGAGAATCAATAAAAAAGCCGAATGTCGAACCCTCAAACGCTCGACCCCCAAAATGACCACGCTATACAACGTATACCCCCCTCAATGCTAGTAGGGCAAAGGTGATGGAGCAGGCCCTCGCATCGGAGATCCTTACAATGCCGAAAAGGGCGAACACACCCCCTAGAGCCGACAAAGCCAAGACATGTTGATTCCACCGAAATAGGGGACACTCAACAGAAGAATGCTCAGCGCTATTTATTTACATAATTATTTATGAATAAATTCTAATATTTTAAATTAAATTATCAATAAATAAAATAATAATAGTATGCTGTGATTTTAAATTATTTATCACAAATCAAAAATATAATTTATATATTTAAATATATCTATTTATATAATTTTTAAATATAATTTATATTACTACCAACAATTCTATATATAAAACCATGTTACTTAATATTTATTGAGATTAAGAAAAATAATTAATTTAGTTTATAACAATATAAAAAAAATTATTTATTTTTTTTCTTCTAAAACTATTCTTATATTACTTCTTTTTCTTATTTAATTAATATTTGTATATTTTCTAATCATTAGTATGCATGTTTTATATTATTAATCTCTTCTAATTAATATTTATCTTTCTTTTAATCAATTAAAGTGTATATACTTTTTAAATATTTTATAATTAATATATTTTATTAAATTAAAATAATACTTTAATTAAAGATATATTAATTTAAAAATAATTAATATATGAGTAATATGAATTACTGTTATATAAAGAAATAAGTTGTTTTAAGTCGGGTCTTATAAATAAATATATATATATATATATATATTAAAATTTCATTTGTCTATGAAAGACTAAAATACATCATTACCCAAAAAAAAAAATAGTGAATGACTTAGTTTAAATACTAACTTAAACAAAAATTAATATAAAAAAATAGGTTGTGGATAAAAAATAAATAAATAAGACATGTATATGATTTTATTAGGGATGATAATGGAACTTCGTGGAGATGGGTAGTAGGATATCCATCCTATCAAGTAAAAATTTATCTCATACTTGTCTCGTATTTGTTCTATACCTATGTGAGTATCTATTTAGCAAGTACTTATAAATTTCATGGATATTTATGAAATATTAAAAAAGTATCATAAATAACTTTAAGATTATATTTAATGTTAAGTATATTCAAATATAAATGATAAAGAATTGATATTAATTATTGAATTTGTGATTAATGATAATTTTTAAATTATTAATAATATAAGATAAAATATAAATATTTAAGTAATATTATTTAGCGGATACCCATGAGTATGAATACTATTATAACTGTCTCGTCTCGTTTAAAAACAAGTAAAAAAAACACATGTACTCTTTACTCACAGTATTCATTTAGGTTAGATATTTATTATCTATGACGAATTTTATCTACAAATATCCATGAGTGTGAATTTTTTGTCATCCTTATAATTTATCTTCACAATTTGTTATAAAAAATAATTTAAAAAATTAAAGAATAAATATGCAACTTGAAAATTTATTTAGAGGGTTGAAGAGTTTGAAATGACTAGGAACAAGGTATTACTTGGTACTCTTTTTTCAAGAAAAAAAAATCATGTGATTTTTTTTTTTTTTTATATCTACCCATATATATTAACCACAAACTTTTATCTTGTGTAATAGTATTTTTATAAGTTTTTTTTTCAACAAAATAATTTTTATATTTTTTTTTAACTTCTCATTTAATTTGATTTTTATTTGTGACTATTATTTATAAATTTCAATCTTTTTATGTTAAACATGGACTTCAATCGTACGATAATACTTTTAGAAACTTTTATGAATATTTTTAAGTTCTTAACTAATTTGATTTTGTTTATCATAATTATTTATAAATTTCAATCCCTATATATTAAAAATGATTCTTTATATTGTACGATGGTGTTTTTATGAACTTTTCATTAAAAAAAAAGTTTTTATGAAAATTTTTAATTTCTTATTTAATTTGGTTTTTTTTATCTTAATTATTTGTGGATTAAATTTTAGAATTTTAAAATAATTTATCAATAAATAAAAATAATATTGTGTTATAATATAAATTGTTTATCATAAATCTAAAATATAACTTATATGTCTATATGTGCAAATTTTAAATATGATTGATATATTTAAACATAACATTTATTTGTTTACATGACTTGTTATAAATTTTAGTTGTAATGGATAGAACCGCTCAAAATAATGAGGGTAAAACAAAAATAGAGATGGAAGAGAGATGGAAGAACCGAAGGAAAGACCCATACACGAACGATCTCAAGCACTGGGAATCCCTTCCTCAACTCGTAGAAGTCGTCTAATGTGTGAATGAGGAAAAAATTCTCGAAGTCTTGATCAAATACGAGCTGGGTGAGTCAGGTTAGGGTTAGCACACTCGGCGCATTATGCTTTGTGCCCGGCGCAGAGCCTTCCAGAGAGTTTAGTTACTCTCTGTCTCAAGACACGCCCGATGCAATTACTTTTAAGTCGGGCGCGATGTCTTCCAGAGAGTTTAGGTTACTCTTTGTCTCGTTCACGCCCAACGCATCTTCTTGCACCCGGCGCAGTTCTGAATTGCAGAGAGTGTGACTCTCTGTTTTGCTCATGCCCGACGCGAGTAGTCTTGCACCCGGCGCAGGTACTCTTCTCCTGCTCCTTAGCTCCTTTAATTTCCAATCCAATGGGTCTTCAACTTTCAACTCTTCACTCAATACCTGCACAAAAAATACAAAAAATGAGGTGTATTATGGTATTGTTAGATGAGTTTTGGGTTAGCTATATCTGCACAAAAATTGAATAAAAAAGAAAACAATTATATTGCAAGAGTGCATGAGGTGAGTGAAATTGTTCAATAATTCCTATCTGAACATGTTTATAAATGAGACTTAACAATTATGTGACTATTTGTGTGATTTAGAGCTTCAAAACCAAGAATCAGACATTGATATGTAGTCGTGTGAGGTTTGCTCGAGAAACCTCATTCTTGTCTTTTTCTCATTGTTCAAAACGATCACATCACTTATTAATAAAATAAGTACTAATCACTTGTTAAAATAAATATAAACAATTTTTTTTGTAAGTTATTTTTTAAAATTTTTATCTCTATATATCATATCATTAAATATCACATTACTTAAACGGTACATATCATCATATAACATTAAAATTTAATGATTAATAAACTTCAAATTGATGTTAAGATCAAAATTTCTTATTTTTAAAAATAGAAAGACCAAAATTATAGATAAAAAATAATTAAATAAAAAATGTAATTTAGCCAAAAAAATTCAAATAATAAAAAGTCAAATTAAACTTTAAATACCAAAAAACATTTTAAAGACTAAATTAGTAAATATTTAATATTTATAAATAAAATTAAATTATTATTTATCTTTTTCTAAATCAATGATTTATTCTAAATTTTTTGGAAACATGATTAAATTCATTCATCCTTCTCTTAGAAAATAAATACCGGGTATCTCGAAACATGATTATTAAATCCCATCAAATTGATTAATATTTTTTATATAATATCTTAATGCTAATAATTAATAATTATTCTGTACTTATAAAAGGTAAATTTTGTAAATTAAATATTATTTTAACACGGACAGAAATCGAATCTCGAAGCTTATGTTAAATTAATTAATTAAAATTGAACAAATCTTACCAATTCTAAAGTTATAAACATTTTACCGTTTTCCTAATATAATATATAGTTATATATATATATATATACATATATTATTTTTATTAAATAAATAAATTTTAATTTTAGTATTTTGTATTTTTTCTTTTTATTTCTCTAAAATTTAAAATTTTTGTTGTTGTTCTTATTATCATGTATTGTTTTTAACTATTTATTTATTCATTAAAATGTTATCACTCTTGTTCTTAATTATAATATTTGTTATAACTAAATTACACTCTTTAAAAAAATTAGTTAATTTAGTTAAAATTATTAAATTTTTTAATAATTTAAGTTATTTTTCAAAATTAACATTTTCTCTTTTCACTTAATCTTTTCTCATTTGATTAATTAATGTTTGAAAGAAATATTTACGTGTCTATTAGTATTTTAACTTCTACAATAAACAAGTTAAATATTTATCACATATAACTAAAATTTAGAATAAATAAAGTATATAAATAAATTTTGTATTTAAATATATAAATTATATTTAAGATTTGAATAACTATATATTTTTAAATATATAAATTTTATTTTAGATTTAGGATAAATAACTTATATTGTATCACAAGATTATTTTTATTTATTAATATTTTATTTTTAAAATATTAAATTTAATTAAAAAATAATTATAATACATAAAAATCGCATTAGGTACGGAGTTTAAAAAAACTTTAAAAACATTCATGTTGAAAAAAAAATCTCAAAAATATTAATGTCAAAGATATTTATTTGTGTTTTATATATAATAATTGATTTATTTATTAAAGCTTAACAAAAAAGTATTTTTATCTAACTAATTTAAAAAGTATTTATTACTTCTTATATAAAAAAGATGTTAATTAAATAAGAGTATTTTAAAAAAAATATAGTTAATATAATTGACAATTAGATCGTAATTTTATAAAAAGAATGGACAAACAACAAGTTAAAATGATCTTATATATAAGGATAAAGGTATTAAGTCGTAAGTGACCTTCTTATATGTCACTTGATACCATATTAATATGGGATACTTATAAAAAAAAAATACTAATAATTTTGTAAAATAAATGTTGTTTATATACTTTAAAATTATTATTAAAGATTCAAAATAATTATTTTAGGTTTTAGAGGGATAAAAATTAAAGAAAAATTAATTTAAAGATTTAAAATCAAAATTTACAAAAACTAAAAATAATATTTACAAATTTTTAGAAAAATAAAAATTACAAAAATCAGAATCAAAACTCGTTGATTTATAATATACTATTTGTGTAATTATTTATCTTCGCTGTTAATTTTCTTCCTCTGTTTCTAACAAACTTTTAATTGGTACATCATTCATATCTTTCAAAAAATATTTTGGAAGTATATAATCATCACATTAATTTAATGACATATTTTACAAATAAGCAGTAATATCACACGGAATATAGTTAAATTCTAGACCCTATATTGACCCTGAAAAAAACATAATATAAAACTGCCATCAATAATGAATTTTGTTTTTCTTTTTTGTGAACTAGCCATCAATATTGAATAATAATAATAATAATAATAATAAATAAATAAATAAATAAATAAATAAATAAATAAAAACAATCTGGGTGACATTAATTAAAGGAATGAAGGTAAACGAGGTAAATAGAGTTACTCTCCCTAGTTTATGAGAAAAGATAGAGAGAGGGGTAAGCGGCAGAGACAGATTTTCCCGCGAAAACGCGTGGGTTTCCCGGCAAATTTGTGAGTGCTTTCGATTCCAATAAAAGCCAACGAAAAGAGAGGTGTTGTTGTCGTAATGGACCAATCGTTTACTCCTCCTGCTGCAATGTCGTCTTCTCAGCACGAACACGTCAAACGAATGATCAACTCCGATCGCTACAAATCGCCCTCCAAGACAATCTACTCCGACAGGTTCATACCATGCAGATCCGCTTCCAATTTCCCCCTCTTCGATTTGCCGGCGTCCGAGGACACCTGCGGTTGCAGCCCCTACGGCAACGCTCTCCGGACCGCGTTATTCGGACCCAACACCCCCGATAAAACGCGCCCTAATATATTCCGTTACAAAACGGAGACTAAACACTCCATGCACTCGCTCTCGCTAACGCCCTTCGAATTTCACGATGACGCTCTCCCTGGCTACGCCCCTAATTATCCACCGCTCAAGCGCGCTCGCAAGATTCCTCACTCCTCTTTTAAGGTTTTTTTTTTGCCTTCCTATTTTGGGGGATTTTTTTTTTAATTTATTTTATTCGGTTAAGTAATTGCAATGTTGTGGTGTTAGGTTCTGGATGCGCCTGCGCTGCAAGACGATTTTTATCTGAATCTCGTGGATTGGTCCTCCAACAATGTCTTGGCTGTGGCTCTGGGCAACTCTGTTTATTTGTGGAACGCTTCCAGCAGCAAGGTTTGTAACTTTTGTTTAATGTTTTTCTTCGATGAAAATTGAGTGGTCAATATTGTTTCGGGGTGTTCTGTTTCGTTGATTGGATCATTTGTTTGTGGGGTTATGGGTTATTTGTTGATGGGATTGTGATGTAGTTGCAAATTGAAAATTTGCGAGATATTCAGTTTTGATATGCGACATGTGCTGCAGGTAACTAAATTATGCGAATTGGGGGTTGATGATTCCGTTTGTTCCGTTGGCTGGGCTCAACTTGGTGCCTACCTGGCAGTTGGATCGAACAGTGGTAAAGTTCAGGTAAGCGTTTTTATTTGCCAAACCAATCTCATGCAATAGTAACTACAGTTAGTTACCGCTGATCACTTATTTTTGGATATCCTAGGTTTTTCGAATGTTTTTTTATAGCTATTCTTATAAATTTAAGAATGCCCTATATCTTGAGGATGTTTTTCTGGCGTCGTTCTTTTTTCGCAAGGGTACTTGTGTCCGTGTTGTAAGTCTTGGATATTTATTATCTAGTCATGTATTATAATTCTCAAATAAGCAAAGTATGTTGTATAATGTCAAAATAGAGTATATAAGTGAAGGCAATCTTTACCCTACCAGTATGATTTACCAATTTTACCTTCTTTACTTGTCATTAGATTTCCATAAGAGAGGTAAAGGAATTACCAATACCAATAAAAATGATAAATGACAATTGGAGGGTTTAAGAGGTGTGAGAGAAAAACACTTATTCACACAACCTTTAATAGGCGCATAAATGAAAATTACAATTAATGTTTTATAGAAATTGTAAAGTGCCTTATAAAAAGGATCACCAATTCTTTTTAAATTGTGCCTTATAATAAAGATCGGAGGGAGCATTTGTTATTTTGTCAACTACCATGTATAGGGTTGAATTCAATGGGATATATTGAAAAAAAATCCAAGTACTAGAAATAATGTCAAAATAGAGTACATAAGTTGGTAGAAACAGTCACCCTATGAGCTAGCTTTTGCGGTTGACCCAAATTCTAAGACAGGCATGCATATCCCCCATTAGAAAGGTCTCTGTATAGGAATGGCAGTTACATTTGATATAACATCGCCAAAGGCAATCATCTAATACCAACTTATTTTGGTAAGCATACCATTAGCAAAGAAGAAAAGGGGAAGAGACTAGTGAGCGTTAGTAAATGTAAACCATGAAATCCTGTATCTTTTGTTTGGGAAAATATTTTCAAGTAATTACTATGAACTTGCTATAGTGGATGTTATCATCGGAAGATAGTTATGAAGGTGGTCAATTAGATGGTAGACATCCTGTGTGGGTTAGCTAAGGGAGCTTAATTGGTGTACAAAAGCATTCATGGGGAACACCTCGCTCCATTTACTTCATTGAGCATGAGCAAAAAAGTGAAGTTCTATTTGCGTCCAACATGTATTGCACACTTGCTTGTGTTGGGAATTAATCTTTCTTGACACGTTAACAGTCTGATACCTTTATACAGTACTCTTATCAATAAATTGTATTAATCTTGATGCATTCTGCTTGTCTGATGCCTTCTAAATGTGTTTTGTCACACACTAGGCCAATTTTACTGATTGTTAATTTCATATTCTGTTAACTCAGTATTTGAGGTTCAACGTGGTCAAGGAAGCATAAATTTTCATGATAGTGTGTCTAAGAAACTTTGGCCCCTGTTTTGGTGGCTTCCATTCGTTTGATAGTTGTCTATCAATATAGTCCGTAGTAGGCACATGGTGTGTTAGACTTTTAGTTTACTTATAGAAACTTTATTTTCCCGATTGGTTGAAACTTACCTTCCGATCCACATGCATCACTGCTACTTTAAACGTTCTGATCTTTTGACTGGCTTCCCATAAAACATGTTGTCAAGTTATCTTCGGCTTTCCTGTTTTGTGCTGTCGAGTATTTTCTTGCATCACATCCCTGGAATTTGCTAAATTCCCTTAAATCTTCCTTATACAATCGATAATGCCTTAAATGTAGCTGACCAGCATAATTTGACCTATGTCTCTTAACCATTCTTTATGCAGATTTGGGATGCATCTCAAGGCAAGACAATAAGAACTATGGAGGGTCATCGTTTACGTGTTGGGGCCTTGGCCTGGAGTTCATCTCTTCTGTCTTCTGGTGGTCGGGATAAAAACATTTATCAACGAGATATACGTGCTCAGGAGGATTTTGTCAGTAAATTGTCTGGGCACAAGTCAGAGGTTAGACTTTTATTTGCTTTATCTGTTCAAAATAAATTGCTGCCTACTGTACATGGAGTTCAGCATATTTATTGATTGATTGATTTCCCCCCCTTTTTTGGTTCTTCAAAGGTTTGTGGACTGAAGTGGTCGTATGATAACCGTGAGTTAGCATCTGGAGGAAATGACAACAAGGTATGCAATTGCAAATGGCATTATCCTCATGAACTGCCCCATTGCCTTATGTATTCTTTACTTCTTGGCATCAGCAACTAATAATTTGTTTTGAATGTTTGCAGTTGCTTGTTTGGAATCAAAACTCAACCCAGCCCATCCTAAAGTTCTGTGAGCATACAGCAGCTGTTAAAGCTATTGCATGGTCTCCTCATGTTCATGGACTTCTTGCATCTGGAGGAGGGACTGCAGACCGGAGTATTCGTTTCTGGAATACAACAACAAACTCACAGTTAAACTGTATTGACACCGGAAGTCAGGTATTCACTTTGGTTGAATTCTTTTGATCTAATACAAGTCTGGTTATTTGAAGGCTCTACGAAAAAATTGAATTTATTTTGTTACGAAAATACAAAATCCATGTTCCCTGTTGAAGGGTCATATGTTAAGTCAGATAAAGCATGAAAGTACAGCAAATTGCTAAGTATACTCAAACTGTACTAGATGGAAAATGAGATGAATAAATCATCACATTTGATTTAAAAATAATCCCAAATAGATAAATGATATAAAGAATGGTAAGGGATGATTATAATAATACATAAGCAGTGAAACTCCCAAATTCAAGAATCAAGATTGATGTGGTTCTCTATCAGTTGGGTTACATCCAACTCAAGTGGTGCAACATAAATTCTTATTTGCTCTATCTTTGAATAGAGTGTGAGACATTATACAGAATACATCAGTTTAATTGTTCCAAGGAATCAAGAACCATTATCACTTCATCAAAATGTGTCTGAAAAATCTAAATTTTAATGTTATTCCAGTACCAACATTTGTTAGATTATTGAAGCTTCTTTTCTTTTTATAAACTGCTTTCAGAATCCATGGCATTTGTCTTCACATATCGAGTTGAGGATTAGGGGTTTCTACCCCCCTTCCTCCTTTTTTTTTCCTCTTTTCTATAACAAATATCTTTTACATATGGCAGGTTTGTAATCTTGTCTGGTCCAAAAATGTCAACGAATTGGTAAGCACACATGGCTACTCCCAGAACCAGATAATAGTTTGGAAATACCCCACCATGTCAAAGGTACACACAAATTCTATTGTCATAAAATAGACAGATTTTTGGGATTAATTTTAACATGTTTTTTGCTTTTGATGCAGCTAGTATCTCTTACAGGACATACTTACAGAGTTCTTTATCTTGCTATCTCTCCTGATGGACAGGTAGTTCAATTCTTCTATCACCTATTATTCTCAAGTTTTTATATGATTAGTCACTGATTACGAAATTTATTTTTCCTAATTATGTTATTTTCCTTGTTTTGATGACGTCTACTTAATGTTTCAGACTATTGTTACTGGAGCTGGAGATGAAACTCTTAGGTTTTGGAATGTTTTCCCTTCACGGAAATCACAGGTAATTATTCATTGAAAGACAGAAAAAATAATGTTATTAGCATGCCCTGCTTTTCTTTTTTACTTGATTGACCATGGTTTGAACATTTGAGTGTCATTCATATCCAATCCCAACTGTATTGCTATTCCCTTAAATGTAAATGCAGATACATGAATTCACCTAAATGTATTGCTTATGCATCATTTTCTTTTATTTGATCAGGATTTTTGTATTCTGCATTCTTGATGGAAATGACTTGGGCAACATTCATTCAACTCGTTTGATGTTGTTGCTATGAAATAGGATATGTAACGATATATGTAGAAGGGACTATGGTCTTAGTTGTTTCATTGTTTATATATTGAAGATTGATATATGGCTGTGATTATTGGTGCAGAATACTGAGAGCGAAATTGGAGCATCATCTTTTGGAAGAACTATCATCAGATGACTCCATTTATCATTTTTATGATAGAAGTGACGGAGAGATATTTCAGAACACCATGGTGGAAAATTTTGTATGTAAGAGACATCACCGTGGTCTGCTTTACCAACGAGGGAAGCCTTACGGGAGCTATGAAGTTAAGATGTAGATGCCAATGGTGGAAATCCATGCTCTTCATGAGTTATTTTATTGAAGCATCTAAGAGATTTATTTGTACATATCACTTTGGTTTTCTCCTTTTTATTTTTTATTTTTTTTATCTTTCCAGTAATGCGCCTCGCATTATATTTGGATAAATTTTAAATTATAGAGAAGCATCTTTTACATGTAACGGAATAACCTTTGTATATCGGAAGATCATACGGTGGTATGGTTAAATTTTTTAGCAAGTGATACGAGATAAGTTTAATTAAGGACTTGTTTATTTAAACAATTTAATTAGATCTTGTTTAATAAAAAAATATGTTATAAATGTTTAAAATTCAATAAATTTTTACAATTGGATACATATATTAATAAACACTTATATTTTTTTTAAGTGTTTGGATGTATTATTATTTAAGTATTTATAAGATTTTGTCTCACTTTAAAAGTTTAAATTAAATCTTAATTGAAAATAAAATAAAAATTTAAAAGTATTAAATAATTTGAGAAAAGGACATTATATCACAATAAAATTATATATTCCAATTTTATATATTCTATAAAATCAGGATTTAAAAAATTACTGTATAATAACAAGTAAAAAGTTAGAAAGAAGAAAAACAAAGTTAGATAATCCTAAGTATTCGATCTATGATAACAAAGCATAAATATCTCATTTGCTTGTATTCATGATAATCCATTTTGTTCATTAAAGTTCTTGATCAAGTGAAGATAGTAAACTCTGTAACAAGTGAGTTAAAGGGTTCATACCTTTTACAAAGAATGTGAAATTAAGAAATGACTTGAGTATTAAAATTTTGATTTCTATAATGAAAATTATGTAATGACTAAAAGTAATAGCCTGTAAAACAGTAATTAAAGCTCTTAATAAAAAAGAGAAAGATGTTATATATTTTTTATAAAGAGATTTCTAATAAAATAATTTTAGAAAAAGAAAGTTACAATTTATATATATATATATATATATATATATATATATGGGGGGTATAAGGGGAATGTAGGTTTTGGGGAAAAGAGATAAAAGGAATTTGGAGGGGGAAATAACAAAAAATAAAGAGGAATATTTTTTGAGGGAGAAATGAAAACTTATGGAGAGAAAAGAATATAAAACTAATTTTTAATTAAAGAATAAAAAATGTTTTTTTTTTTTTATATTGATGACATGATTTGACATGAGTATTTCTCAATAAACTTTTGCATAAATTAATAATAAGTTATACTTAACAATTTATCAAAATAAACATAATATCTTATGGAATACTTATAAGATCCTTTTTTAAGTTTTTTTAAATACTCTCGTAAACACTTATAAATAAAATAAGTACAAATAAATTATTTATAAGTTCTTCTAAATAGGTATAAGACTATTTTTTTATACGGACACTCAACTACTTATAATGTTTATTACAATAGAAACACACACAAAATAGAGGAGGGAGCGAAGAAATAATATTTTTTCTATCCTGATTTATTATCTGGTCAGATTAAATTAAATTGTTTAAGTTTATTTAATTTTTATTAGAAAAATAAATTAAAATAGAGGACTAAATAGATTGGATAGGTTTTGAATCTAAAATGAATTAATTTGGCGATTCAGAATAAATTGAGTTAATTATTTATTTGTTATTCTGTGGCTCATCGGGCTGCCGACTGGGCACCACAACTAAAACGTGCTGTTTAATGGTTATATGGATTAACATAGACACTGTCTTTCTGTGGGCCAAACTAGAATGAGCTATATACGAAGCAAACAAAATAGGATCAAAAACTCCATCCACTTATTCTTATTTTACTATTCAAGACGACTATTTTCTACTGCTCTTTATCGATTATCAACCAAACAAAGAGAAAATTTCTGACTATCTGGGCCTGTTAATAGATATTTTTATTAGAGTTTGGTGCATGGATTGGTATTTGTTCTATCACTTTTGCAAAATGATGGGCCATTCATATGAGCCTTTAACTCACGTGTACAAGGGGTTTCATGAGCATTATGATTGAAGATTGTTGTGGATCTAATCACCAATGGTTGCGCCCACACCACATGCATCCATGTTTCAATTTAATATTAAATTATATTTTTATTATTTATTTATTTATTTTGGTCCTTTATTTATTTATTTCAGTCCTTTTAAAACAATGATTATATGAAGAAAAGATAAATACTATAAGAAAAGATAAACTTGTTAAAATACAAATTTATAAAAACTTTTCTACCGAAAAAACTTCTTATTTTAACTGAGAAATTCTAAATAAAAAAATAAAAAAAACTCTTAGAGAACGGTTGGTAGGAGATTTTTTTTTACTCAAAAACATGATTTTTAAAAATTAAAAATTTGAAAAATTATAATTTCTGATAATAATTAAAATTTATCCGATTATTTATAAAAGTTTATGAAAATATTCTGATAAAATATATAGTTACAATAGAAATATATATCCCTGAGTATATAAATATTTTATACAAAAATATATTTTATTAAATATTTATTTTTAACTTTTATTAAAAATATGAAATTAAACTCATCTAATTAACTTACTTTTGAAGATAACAAAAAATTGATTACATAAATTAACCTAAATTTATTAATTTATAGGTTATCAATGATCTCATTGGATAGCTGGATTCCTTTCAAATTTCACCATTGGCAATTTCCTAATTACTCATAGCTATAAAAAAAAAAGTTGAAAATAATCAGTGAAGCACACGGTGGCGTATTTTGACGCAAAAGAAGGTGCAACACCACGAAAAGAATTCATGTACGAAAAGTTTAGCCATTATAACGGAATTGATAGATTGATAATTGCACTATGACTCCATAAAAAATGAGTTAAATTGTTAGACAAAAGAGCAAGCATGGAAAGCGACGTAGCATACATGAACAAATTTAATTTGTTACGCAGTAAAATGCAAATATTTACATGGAGAGGGGTTTGAATTCTTGAATTGTCCAAATGATATGTACAGGAACAGGAACAGGAACAGGAACAGGAACAGGAACAGGAACAGGTGTTCTGTTTGGTGTTTATAGATTTTGTTGGGTCCCAATTCCATCGTAACGGGGAGTGGGAGTGGGAGGTTCTTGAGACCACTGAATTGCTGTTAACGTGAGTGGGGGAAAGCAACATTCACATTCCTCATGGCATGGTTGCGGTATGGCAATGGCATTGGCATTGGCATTGGCATTGGCATTTGCATTGGCCAACCCTTCCTCACTCGCCTCACTTTCTTGCTTACCCTCTTCTTGGGCCCCACCCGAGGGTGCTGAGGCTTCCTTAAGTGGGCCCCAACACTCCACCTTGTTGAATTCTCCAATGTTTGAGTGGAAGTAAACCCAAACCAAGGCCTCTTGCAGTTCCGGGTACTTGTTGAAAAGGTTGCCATCACCGTGAACGAACGCCTTCAGAACCTATTCAATTCACGCACGCAACGCAACACCCAACATGTTCCGTTTTAGTCTTAGCTACCACTTTTTCATGCTTCTAAAATTAACTTAACTCAACTAGCTAGCTTGCTTACCACGGGTAGCTCTTTGTAGAAGATCAAGTATCTTAACCTCGCTAATATGTCCAACAGAAAATGACCTCCACTGATGTGGCAGTGAACGTGCAGAGACATCTTTCCCTTCACCTTCTTCCACTGTGCCACCACTTCGTCCCTTTGCAATCTGTTGTACCACCCCTGCAACTGCAATTCAATTCCTTCCATTAATTCTCACCCATTACTTTCATCATTCTAAATACAAAGATCCAAACCCCATGATCAATTTCATTAGATCATTTTGGATTATGATTTCAACTCATTTAATATATAATACTTTCTTAAACATGTATAAGTTTTTTTTTTTATATTTTATTTTATCATTTAACTATAAATTTATATAGTGTAACAACATTGAAAACCAAAATGGTCCAGTGGAAAACAAACTCGATCTAGTCCTGGACCGACCCATGCTCATCCTTAATCAAACCTAAGTTCATCCATGAAGAGACCCTAGTGGTTCGTCAATTATCAAATTAATTATATGAAATAATAACTCTCTAATTATTTTTTAAAAAAACTTAAAAATATATAACAGTATTTCGACAAAATTGAATGAATTCGACCAAACAAACAGTTAAGGCTATAATTAGGTCGGCTGTGTGATTCACATGTTACCCATCTATTACGACTTCCCATCCTTCCCCGAAAATAAAAATTATGTTGCACAGCAAAAATGTAAAGAACCCTGATTTCCTCTGTTTTGTGAGAACTTGGGTAAGAAGTAAGAAGGATTCCAAAAACGAAGATGAAGAAAAGATAGTGAGATGAAAGGCATAATTGAAGAAGAAAAATACCTGAGAGTTATTTATGGTTTGAGAGATTGCCAAAGTGAGCTTAGCGGTGATATCACTATGGGTTAGCGTATAAGTCCTTGGGAGATTTCCTGGGTGTTTGTTTTCATCCACACCTAAGAACAAAACCTTGAGTTTGGAGGCTTCAAATATGGCTGGCCCAAACAACCTTGCAACCTGATCCAAGAGACAAACCCAACATAAAAAATTCATAAATAAAAAAGAAGAAGGAGAATAAATTAACACATACTGGAACAATCGCTTTGTTCTTCTTGCTGACACGTCTTCGGTTGGGAAAGAGAAAAGTTTGGTGCGGAGAAGGAGAAGGCGAAGGCTTGAGCTTAGAAGGGAGAACAGGAAGAGTGGTTAGAGTAGCCATGGTGGTTGAGTTTGAGGCCACCAAAGAATATTACGTGATGAAATAGTAGCTTGATGAGTGACCCTGAAACTGAATTGAATGAAGGGGCTTTTGTGTCTATGTTATGGTTTTAACTGGAGTGGCTCTTGCTTCGGAATCTACTTTAACCTTTGCTTGCGAGCTTCAACAAAAGAAAAGGGTGCAAGTGTTTAGAATTAAGATGCGTGTGCCGTGTAGCAATGTTGCGACTTGCGACTTTTTTAGCCCCGAGATTGCGGTTCCTTTAAGTCGTAGCCTTAGTGATGTAGTGTTTTTGGCAACTTTATATTCAAGTGCTGGCTATGCCTCGTTTAGACACGTTTCTCTTCATTCTGCTACACACGTCGTCTCTTCTTCTAATTTCCAATACTCCAATTCCTCGGGATACAAATCTCCTTCTTATTATTGCAACTTGTTGTAGTAACTTATTAGATTTCTTTTCCCACACGTTTCTTTTCTGCTCCCTTTTTATTGCGTGTTATATAATTCCTCATTCATTTTTTTTCAACACTTCAAACATTGGCGGCATCTGCGATTAGAGCCTGCCGCCAAATAATGCACTTTTCAGTTTTCATGTAGTTGTTTACTAAAAATCCCACAAATTTTACGATTTTCAAACCTTTTTTTCTTTCCCTCCCCATCTTCTATTCTCTGTCTTTTTTTCTTGTCTATCTTATTTTTTCTTTCCCTATTTTACACTAAAAATATATTCCCAAAATGTGAATAATTATTAGTCTCGTCCTGGTTCTACGAACCAAAGTTAATCCTTTCCACAGTTCTACTAATAACAGGGTAATGAAACTAGTAATGTCATAAAAATAAATATTCCCTCCTAAAGAACCACGCTTCTTTGTTTTTGTTTTTTTGGAATTAATCTTCTGAAGTAGTGTTCTGCTAGAAGAAAGTCATCACATCACATACCTTGCAGATTTGGGAGTGTGCGGATTTTTTTATTGATGACCTATTAAGTTCTGCAATGATGGATGTACCGGAGAGACCGTATCGGTCACGTGGGCCAACACGGGTTGTGATTCAGTGGGTGCATCTGAGGATTTCTACGGAGATTAGGAGTTTTGTTGGGTTAGCGGGTTACTATCAAAGATTCATAGAGGGTTTCTCTCGAATAGTAATGCCTTTGGCTCAACTGACTCGGAAAGATCAGCCTTTTGTTTGGATAGACGCTTGTGAGCAGAGTTTTCAAGAATTGAAGGGGTGATTGACTACTTCTCCAATTTTGGATTTACCTGACACTGGTGAGCATTTTAATGTGTTCTGTGATGCTTCTCACTGGGGGTTGGGTTGTGTGTTGATGTAGGGAGGGAGAGTAGTGGCATATGCTTCGAGGCAACTTAAGACCCAAAAAAGGAACTATTCCACTCATGATTTGGAGCTTGTAGCTGTGGTGTTTGCCTTGAAGTCATGGAGGCACTATCTATATGGTGCGAGATTCAGTGATTACAAGAGTTTGAAGTACCTGTTTGATTAGAAGGAGTTGAATGAGGTAGAGGAGGTGGATGGAATTCCTAAAAGACTTTGATTTCCAGTTGATATATCATCCTGGGAAGGCGAGTGTAGTAGCAGATGTATTGATTAGGAAATCCATCCATATGTCGACTATGATGATTAGGGAGTTGGAGCTGATTGAGCAGTTCAGAGATTTGAGAATAGAGGTGGAGGTTGTTCAAGATCACATTAGTTGTGGTATGATCACCATAACTAATAAGTTCTTGAGACAGGTGGGAACTAAGCAATTACAGGATCCAGAGTTGTTGAGGATTTTGGGATTGCTTGGTACCGAGAGGGCAATTGGTTTTGAGCTTAGTGCTGATGAAGATTCCCAACTAGAAGTGTGATAGTGTCACTAAGGACTTTGTGGTTGGGTTACCTAGGACAGCTAGGAACAATGACTCTATCTGGGTGATTGTTGATAGGTTGATAAAGTGTGCGCACTTTCTTCCTATCAATAAGAGGTGGTCCTTGGAGAGGCTTGTATAGTTGTATATCAGAGAGATAGTACGGTGCATGGAGTGCCTTCCAGTATTATCTCTAACAGAGATCCAAGTTTTACTTCCAGGTTGGCAGACTCTACATTAGGCTTTAGGGACGAGGTTGAGGTTGAGCTCCGTTTATCATCCACAGACAGATGGTCAGTCAGAGAGGACAATTTAGTCACTGGAGGATCTCTTGAGAACTTGTGTATTGGATCATTTGGGTAGCTGGGAGGAGGTGTTACCATTAGTGGAGTTTACCTACAACAACAGTTATCACTCGAGTATTGGCATGTGCCTTTTGAGGCTTTGTATGGAAGGGGGTGTAGAACTCCATTATATTGGTATCAGGAGGGTGAGTCAGTAGTGGTTGGTCTAGAGTTAATTCTTCAGACTACTGAGATGGTGAGATAGATTCAAGAAAGGTTGAGGGCTATCCAGAGTCGACAAAAGTGCTATGCTGATAGGAGGAGGAGACCTCTAGAGTTTGAAGAGGGAGAACATGTGTTTCACGTTTCACAGTTGAGGAACTACATCAGAGACCCGAGTCATGTGGTAGAGATGGATGAGGTGCAAGTTAGAGAGAACTTGACCTATGAGAAGAGACTGATAGTTGTGGTTGATCACAAGTTGAAAGAGCTTCGTGGCAAGTCCATCAGCTTAGTGAAGATTCTTTGGGATGCAGCTACTAGTGAGGCTACCTAGGAGGTAGAGAGTCAGTTCAAGGAACAGTATCCATTCCTCTTTTCAGGCAAGCCTATTTTCGGGGACGAAAATTCCTGTTTATTGGGAGGTATTGTAACGCAGTAGGTTATTTCAGAAGGCCCAAAAAGCCCAATATGGGTGATTTAGTAGCCCAGAACGGGCCGTTCCCAAACTGGAACGGGCTGTTCCAAACTACTAAATTGACTTGTAAATCATAGTTGAGAATGGGCCATTTTGGAGGGAGAATGGGCCGTTCCAAACCCCAAAACGGGCCGTTCTAGAGGGAGTACGGGCCGTTCCGAAGGGGGTACAGGCCATTCTAGATGGAGAATGGGCCGTTCTGGATGAATCCCATAACGGGCCGTTCTGGTTTTAGAATGGGCCGTTCTGCATGTGATTTTTGTATGTGATGAGGGGGTGCAGAACGGGTCATTCCGAATTCGGAACAGGCCGTTCTGGCCACTCCGGAACTTTTATAAGTAGGGGTTTGTGGTTGAGGAGAAAGTGAAGTTTTTAGAGAGAAGTTTTAGAGAGAAGGACTCTAGGTCTGTGAGCTCCTTTCTCTCCCAAATTTCTCTGTATTATTCCTTTTCTCCTCTAGATCATTAATGCCTTCTATCTTTTCTTGAAATTCAGATTAGGAAGCTTGCTTTGGGAGGATTGAAGTTCCAGGTTGAGCTTCAGAAGGGAATTCTACTTCTTCTTAGTTATTGGCTATTTTGAGCCAATCTTCAGGTGAGGGAAGCTAGAATGTAGGTTGTTTAATTTCAGGAGAGTTAGGGAAGCTTTATGCATGGTGTTCTTTTGTTGAAATAGTTGAGTTGTTGGGTGCTTAAGTTGATTTATGTTGTTTATGTGTAAGTTGACATGATAGATGAATTTTAAATATGTTGTATATTGCTAAAGTTGTTTATAAAGTTGTTAAGTTGCATTAAGTTGATATTGTAATGACTATAGTTGTTTAATTAAGTTGTTTGCATGTTGTTAAAATTATTAAAGTTGCATAGTTGTATGATTGAATAAGAAGTTGTCAAGCTGGTATATAATGCCTATTGTTGTATTGTTGTAAGTTGTCTATTGTTGTTAAGATGTCTATTGCTGTAAAGTTGTTAAGATGTCTATTGCTGAAAAGTTGTATGTTGTTTAAGTTGTTAAGCTGATTAAGCTGTGATGATGAGTTGTTGATCACTAGGACTAGGGGA